CTTAATGGTTGATATAGAAGAAGAGAGAGAGAGAGAGGGAAAGAGGAGGAAGCTTAAGAGGAGGGTTGGTACGTTCACGTAGGACGTTTCTAACATACAAGGAGCCCGGTGTCAGGACTCGTGACAGGAGCCGTACCAGGATCAAGGAATTCAGGCATGTTCTCATAAATCCTACTAAAAGACGTTTAGACATTGGCTTCCCCTTTTTACTATCCTCCCATTCGCTCTCATGCAATACTTACTATTATTTTAGTCCTAATGAATAATTCGTTCGATGTTTAACCGCACGTGAAATTTTCGCCAAAATGGGGAATCGATGCTACACGTTAAGGTCGTTCGAAAATACCACGTGTTACGTAATCTCTCTCTCTCTCTCTCTCTCTCTTACTCTCTTTCACCCTCGTATATTATTTATTGCCACGTGCTACCTCGCAATGATTCTCGAAAATCGTGATTTTACGAGAATCAAAAGCAGACAGAGAGAGAGAGATAAAGAGAGAAGTGCATTCATCTAGGATCTTCGATCATGAATAAAGGAGAAAGAGATAAAGATAGATAGATAGAGAGAAAGAGAGTTAGAGAGAGAGAGAGAGAGAGAGAGAGAGAGAGAGAGAGAGAGAAGGAAGGAAGGAAGATTGTACGTTATAAGCCAAAGTGAAACTTTAAAGGACGGAAAGGAAGAACGCTCGCAGGAAGCCAAACTCACTCGACTTAGGGAGTCCTTCTAAGACTAGGACGATTCAATGGTTAAGAGGATTAGCTTGCGGTCTAAGGCGTACGCGGCAAGGAGGAAGATATACTCTGTATTAAATCGTCCAAAGCCAGTTATTTCCTTCGTGAATTGATAGTTGGTAATCTACCACCGTGAAAATCTATCGGGTAATATTAAATTGAATTAATTGTTCAAATGTCTTTAGAGTTTGCCATTCAAATAGTATTGATCGTTAACATATTCAATATAGAAATGTATTCTAAAGTTTGATAGTTTATTTTATATTGATTATTATCTATTAGGAGTGTCAATAGAATTTTAAATCATAAAATATTAATATGTAATCGTAAGCATGTGCGTTTATCTGTTCTTATTATTAATACTGACAATACAAATATTTTAAAATGTTGATTTAAATAATTAGAAACACAAATGTAATTATAAAGAATGGGATCATCGTACGACTATTCGTCAATCTATTAAATTCGTTGATTAATCAAATCGAAGCGTTAGATTTATATTTATTATGTCGTATTAGCTCGTTAAGAAAATTAACGGGGAAATTTGAAAATGAAATTAATTAAATTGTATATTTCTATATACGTTTAAAAACTTTTCAATCAAACTAATGTATATTATATAAATATCTAGCCATAGTAGGTTATATGTGTTGAGTAATATGATCAAACATTAGAAGACTCATTCCTTGTAAAAGATTCTTTTCCGGAATATATATATTTGACGCAAGCTCATCCTCGTACACGAGTGGATGACTCGATCGAGCGCTCTTGGGACGTACAAGCTCATAAATCCAGCTTACTCCTCATAACGAATATCAGAGGGGTAGTAAGAAGAGAACTAAGGGATGGGGAAGTGAACTGAGAGACTAGAATAGAGATAAGGAGCGAAGTATGTAAGTCTCTGTGGACGAGACACGCGTTACAAAAACCTACGAAGATGATACCCTTTGGGTTGAGAAACAAAAAATTTATCTATCACGGCAATAACTTTGTTGAAAAAAAAAAAAAAATACGAGAAATATGTCGTTTTAAAACGGAACTTACGTTATATAACGATTAAAACAAATATTATAATATTTTTTATTGGTCTATAAATTTGTTTGTTTTTCTTTAGAATTTATTCCACGAATTATTTGTTTCCTTATGAATGTATAATACAATCCGATTATTCATTCAATCTCATGTAATCAATTTAGTATGATCGAAAATCACGTAAGTATAATACGAATCTAAACTTTATTAAAAAAGAAAACGTGATTAATGATCCTTCGATGAAACATTTATTTTTCGATCGATAAATCCAAACGATCTGTTAATATACATAACAAGAAGACTTTGTGAGATTTCTCGATGGATCTCACCGATAAAACGAAGAACGTTCGATCCGAGGGTTATTAAATTGATGAATTGTATCCTGTCCTCCCTCGTATAATTTCACTAACACGATCATCACGAGCGAGCATCGATACTTAGGAAATTATTATTTCCATCAGCCGATGCTGTTTTCGTCTTGTTTTGAAGAACATTATAGTAAAAGATTACATACTTCTGGAATAAGTATTATATATGTATATATATATATACATATATATACATGTTTCTTTTCTCATCACTGACAACGTGAAATTGATATCGATATTATTACATCTTGCTTTCTCTCTCTCTCTCCCTCTTCTTCCTTTTTTTTGGTATTTTTTTTTATTCTTTCTCTCTCTCTAGGAATCCACCGAGAATCGACATCCAACTCTAGTAATAGGATTTTGATACTATCCTAGCTAGAAATATCCAGCCTCGATGAATAGAGGAATCGAAGATAATTTTCATGTCGCGTACACCAACCGATAGTCCTTTTAAAATCCCTCGACGTGATAGTAGTACTCGTTGGATAAAAATCTAATGAAAATCACGTTCTCTCAATTCCCTCTTTTTCGATCTTTCGATAATATTTCGATATTTTGTTATCACCCTGAATATGACGTTTCTATACTCGACTGTCTGTTCGTTTTTTTTTCTTTTTTCTTTTCTTTCTTTTCTTTTTTATTTCCCATTTATATTCAGATCAGGAATTTGGGTTAAGATCTGATAAAGATTGTAATTCCAAGGGAAAAACAAAAAAAAGAAACTCGAGGCTACGGGGTTCATTAAATCGAGAAAGTTTACTAAATAATACAGAACGCACAAAGAAGGAGTAATTTATCGGATACCGGTGTCGGTTAAAGTTGAAAGTATAGGCGTTTGTAGGATTAATGTGACTCGCCTTGTTAGATTTATGACACCAATATGAGCCCTCATAACCAACGCTGAAACGCGTTTATATTATACCCCGTATATACTATGTATATACTTGCGTATGGAATAAAATCGATAAAGCATTAAACTACTCGTACGAATTTCTTTTCTCGTATCGTCGTTACGAAAAAAAAAAATAAAAAATGGATCGTCTTTTTGAAAATAATTGCGTGATATATGGTTTTGTTCTTTTTTTTTATCTTTTTTTTTTTTTTCCTAACTACTTCCAGCCAGAGATGAGAGACTCTTGAAGCGTATAAAAAAATGTAGATTTTCTTACGCGAACAGAATTTGTAATAAATTCTTGAAAAGAATAAGGGATGAGATGTCGTTAACCTTCTATAACCTAATTTTTTTTCTTTTTCGTCGGGTTCGAAATGAAAAAATATTTCTGAACGAAAGAAACTTTTTTTTTTGTTTTTTTTTGTTTTATGTAAAATGTTATATGTTGCCATTATAAAGGTGTAGGTTATTATTTATTTTATACAAAAAAAAAATGCATCGACCACGAAAGTTTCTATTTTAATAACGAAAAATAAATGTGTTCTGATATTGTGAAAATAATTCTTCTCGAAAATATCAAATCATTTTTTCGAGATAACATTTTATAACCATTATATTTTGATTAAAAAAAATTTCGCACAAATTAATCAGCATATTAATATAACATTAACAGCGATGAAATAAATAAATATTTAACAAATTATAGGGTCAGAGAGTTTAAGTAAAAGGATTCATTTCTTTTTCTTTTTTAAGCAAATACGAATTTTCGTTTCTTTACTTTTCCTTGTTCAATGAAAATTGTTAAGGTTTGTACAATGTCTACGAGCTAATACTTGGGCTATAACGTTGAACTATAACTTTAGCGAGTAATAGTCGTCAAGCGCGAATGATCATCGTTGTTATATAGCTATGCGAATATCTACGTATTAGTGTTAGAGAACTGGGTACACATACATGCATATTGGAAGCTGTCGTTTTCCTCCTCCTCAGTTTCTGCTATTTCGAGACTTCAATGGCACGTGTTCGACGTGCCACCATTGTACCAGGACTATTGTCTTTTGAGCTGGCCAGCCAAATGAGAATGACACGAAACTTCGAGATTCTTGCTGCCAACTCTCATCCTTTCTGCATTGACTTAAAAAGAAAGAAGAAAAAAAAAAACAACAGTTCAAATAGTACCTGTTATCGCTTTGAATTCACTTTGATCATGTGAAAATGATTTCCTTTTTTTTCTTTTTGGTACAAGCACACAATTCTTTTCGTATTTAACCTATAAAAAAAGTTAATTGAAATGAACATTGATTAACACTAAATCTACCGACACTTCGTGTATACCTATTTCTACCGTGAACGATTAAACGACTGCTTTACAAAAATAGAAGAACATATTTCTTTAATATAGAATAAGATTTAAGACAATTGGATAGTGAACAGAATATTTACTTTTATTTATAAATGAATTATACTAATTAAAACAGGGGTTTTTAGGTTTAGTGTGTAAATAAATACTTACCTTTTTTATTATTATTTTCATATAAAATTTAATATTAGAATAAAAGTAAAAATATATGTTCTGGGCGTTAGTCATATTGTTTAGAGAAAATAAAGAATATAAAAATGTTGAAGTTAACGATACATGCGTGACACCATTTGGAAAGTGGAGACAATTATTTAACACCCACTTGATAGTCCCTCGAACTCTCGTCGAGGCTTACGTTTAAACTGCCGCGTAATATTCTTTGTTAGCGAAGTATGTTTATTAATAATTAACGCGGGTTATGTCACGAGGGCGCGAATAATTAGTAGTTTGGACTTGTAACTGGAACGAGCTTGGTGTACCGTCCTATTAAATATTTAAAATGACGTTCTATACGTTCTCGGTTTGATAGTTTCAACATTTTCAATAATTTCTATATAAAATTGATACCACAAGAAATTAAATAATATAATTATATTTTGATTCCTTATTGTTACAGAGCCACGACAGTTGGCAAGGACACGACGGCGATCAGGTGAGCGTTCGTTCAAATTCATTTCAATATTTTTTTCTAATAAAACACCAGCTTTTCTAGCTTTAAAAAATTCTTTGATTTTCTTTTTTTTCATTGAGCTTTGCTTCGAGCACGTTCCATTTTATCTTTCAAAAGTATTACTTGCATGACGCGAACATTATTCATTACGCGAGTTTAACATACAGGAAAGAGTAATTTCGTAGAAGATTAATTAACAATGTATACGTGGGTGTGTTGTAATTGCATGTCTTTAATACCTATTACTACATAATACACGACTGTCAATTATAGTCCTAACACATTAATTTATTATTCTAATTAGATTAGCTGCATAGGTTAATTAAAAAAAAATTGAAGTAACTATATATAATAAATATTTTAAATTAATGAAAAAAGGTTTACCTAATCTATTCACGATCATTGGCAAATGTGCGGACATTTCATTCTATTTAAATTAATTATAATTTATTTACTGTAACATATATGTGCATATTTTCTTTTTTGTAATTACAATTAATTAGAAAGAAAATTAAATATTCAATTATTTATATTATTATCAATTGATTCAATTTAATTAAATTTTAAATGTAAATCTCTAAATGAAAAGTTTGTCACTGAAGAGTTTAAAAGCAACGAACAGTTAGTGAACATTTTATAGAAATGATGAGTCTAGTATTAACTAGGATTACAATTGAGAACCTCTTCTTTCTCTCTCTCTCTTTCTATTCTCTTTTCTTCTCTTCTCTTCTCTTCTCTTCTTTTCTTTCCCTTCGTGTCTTTTCATTGCCATCTGCAGTGCTTTGTACGAGCTCTGCTCTTATTACCGGTGTTGTGGTTTAATGACGTTATGGTTGGCAAGTATTATAGAACGAAAGCGTCTGGGATACGCGTCGGAACGTTCCGTTTCTTCGTTTAAGCTTTCACGATTAGTTGTGACGACATTGTCGGTTGAGAAAATATTTTCCGAAACCAGTAAACTTGCATGATGCATTTTTCAATGTGATTAATTGATCTACCATTATCTCTTACTATTTGTATTATACTCTTCAACACAATTATTATCTTTTGCTTTCTCATTCTGCTTTCATTTATTTCACAATATTTTCTTTTCTTTTCCCATTAAAAACATTATTTATTATATTATACACAGCCATATACATTTGTTATCAAATTTAAATGATATAATTTATACGTCACATTTTATATTAAATATACGTTAACTTTGATAAAATCTTAAAAAAGAAAAAAAACAAAATTTCACGATTATTAATTATGTTTTATCAAACAGAAATATAAGAAGAGAACATACTATTGTATAAAAAATCAATAGATTACATTTAACAAATGAAATCATTAATAACACTAGTTTACAGTACATCTGTTGCCAGAAAAATTCTAACTGTTGCTGACTACATATGTTATACAGATTTCAAATATATAAGTAGAATTTTTTTCCCAGATATCAATCTTACATTAAAATACGCATGTTTTCGACTAATAAATACGCATAACATATGATACAAATGAAAAACAAAATAATTCGAGCTGTAGACAAATTTTTGAAGTTAGATTTGACGAAAACAGGTCATAAGTGAACATTATCAATCATAAAATTCACGTCAACAGATAAAAAGTTAAATTTTGTAAACTAGTATAATTGGTGTGCATAATTTATCTAATAATAATAATTATCTATATAAATATATGATTATATAAGAAAATAAAAGATATCCTTTTTCGATAATCGTTCGATATCGATATGGTGGATATAAGCGTAGTCAGGTATCGTCAGATAATCCATTTCCTTCGATATCAGGGTACCGTTCTGACAGTTGAAAAGACGTTGGCAGATGGCAAAGAGCGTGGAGAGGATGGACATGGGAAGTGGTTCGGTGGGTGGTGGAAAAAGGCAAGCCACAATTTTCTCGATTATGCAAATGACGGATTTATCGGTAACGTACTCATGCCTAAAGGAAGTGCATTGCGAGTTGGCACTCGAACGGTCCGAACGATCCATCTTACCTTATCGTTGTCGATTCTTCTTCTCTTTCCATTTCTCTCTCTATCTTTCTCTCTCTTGTTCGCTGATTCTCTCTCTACGTAGAGAGAGGAAGAGAGTTTCGTAGATATAAAAGGAAGGTCGACCTTACACGTACGATGTGCCAAACCACTAAGAGAGATTCCCGTAGGACGACCGCTTGATAATCCAACGTGGTTAGAAACTCGCTTTCTTGAAGGAGTTTAAGGAAAGACCAAGAGGAAGAGAGATAGATAGAGAGAGAGAGAGAGAGAGAGAGAAAGAGAGAGAGAGAGAGAGAGAGAAGCAGTTTAACAATGGCGGCGTTGCCTTGAATGAGATTTAGTGTGCCGTCTAATCGGGTTTACCTTCGCCTTGGGGCTCTGTCTCGCACTGATACGCCGATACAGACACTAAGAATATCGTCCTTCGAGTGAAAGGGAGAGGGAGAGAGAGTGAGAAGGGTTTGTAGAAGGAAAAAGGACTGTTGCTGCTTTGCTGGTTAAGGAAGACGGAGCTTAAACGTCTGAGAAACGAGCGATGAATTTTAAAACGTTTCCCTTCAAAGACGTTATCGACCCTCTACAGTGTATTTCTTTTGTATTTTTATTCTTGTTGTATGTGTGTGTGTGTGTATATGTAAGTTCGCTCGCGCGTATATGTGCTTTTGTTTTCATCCTTATCAATCTCTCGTTTGATTAATCCACGTGTGTTAAAAACAATTTACTTTATAAAAAGTTATCTTTTTTCTTTACTCATGATTTAAAATAAGATTGATGTGATTATTTTCTTCGACAGAGAAAATACATCTTGATTAATCGATATGATCGATTAATATTTACGTATCACGAAGATCGTAGAAAATAATTTACGTAAATTTGTTATTACACGATTTGTGACAAACAAGTATTATACTTTTACGGGGATGTTATTTAAAGGAGTTACGATAAAAAATCAAGTTATTAAGGTTAAGAGAAAAGGGAAGGTTAAAAGGCCACAAAGAGAAGAAAGGCTATGTAATTTGCGAGCTTAAACAGCTGCTGAACGCGAGACATGAATTTAAAAGATTCGTTAAAACGTGCTATCGTGCTGAAGTACACAGACCCGTTTTTTCCTCTTCATTGCTATTAACAGGTAAACGGAGTTCCAGCTTCGTCTAGGTGATTAAATAAAAGCTCCCCTCTCTCTCTCTCTCTCTCTCTTTCATGTTTTATCATCTTGGAAAATGTTTTAACGTCAAAATTACACTAGCCAATGATTTTAAATATTTAAGTATATCAACATAATTTATATAAAATTTGATGAACGAAGTATAAATCTATCTATATAATTAAATACCACCGATAATAATCGTATAGCTTAATTAATAAAAAAAAAAAAAGAAAAAAAGAAAAAATTAGAAAATTTCTCTACTACGAATAGAAAAAACGTTATCTTTTATCTTCCTTGTTAGAAGTTATCGACGGTTTGGCATTGCACCATTGAAACTCAATACACACCGGGGGAGTGTCGATGTCACTTGATGATGAGAGAGAAAGGGAGAGGAAGAGAAAAGAGGAAAGGGTTGGATCGATTTCCGGTCAATGAGTTCTTGCTTGGAGCACCATGGTCCCGTCCCATTGTCTTGAATGGCTTTTTCGATCCCTTCACAAAGTACCTGCTGCGCATCGGATTCTTGCATCGAATACCCACAATACGGGTGGTGTGGCGCATCGCTGAAAAGCCCAGTAAAAAGAATACACACAATGCCGACGTTTTCACCAACTCTTTACTTCTCCCTGTCCACCAACCCCCCCCTACTTCTCCCCCTTCTGCCCGTTCTCTCTTTTTTTCTCTTTACCTTTTTAGTTTTTTTTCTTTATTCCTCTTGGACTAGTCGCTTTTTTTCATTTTCCTTTGTCGATGCTCGAAGTATCTTTCATTGTCCTACAACTTTCCTTTTTCGTTCATATTTTTCTCTCGTTCGAAAGAAAATATTTCGAATTTTTATGATTGAACGATAATAATTAAATGGGGACAAAATTTGTCTATAAAATAAAGAACAAAAAATATAAGAGGATTAATAATATATTTGTAATATTTAAATTTGTGTCAAATTTTCGTTCTATGCGTTTATACATATTATTTTTCAATATAAATTGTCGATATTTTAAATAATCGATCAATGGATTGAATCAATTTACTGTTGACACACTCATGTGTTACTACATAATAATATTTTATTTTACGTAATAAAAATTTCGCCATTATAAATGTCGAGAAAGAAAATCTTTTTAAATATTATCCCAATAAATAAAACAAACCCAATGTATTAGAAAACATTTTGTTTCTTATTTATAAAAAGTTGATTCTTTTTCGAACGGAGGTAGAACGGAGCTTTTCCACATAAATTCACGGAATAGTATTCGGGAAAGTACGAAGACAACGAATCGCCAAACGGATTTCCATAAAAGTTTGTCAATAGGGATTTGACAAAACCCGGTCGAGTGTCCAACATTCGCGAACTTCCGTTTTACTCCCGAGAGGTGGAAAAGTTGGGGGTCGGATGGTGCAAATCGTGGCGAGATTTTCCTTGCCACTTCTCGTATTTTTCTCTGAGGCTACGAAAAAGCTCTCATCTCTTACGTTTTCCTACCTTGTCACTTTTCATTCTCTCTCTCTCTCTCTCTCTCTCTCTCTCTTACTTTCTCCTTCAACATCGTGTTATTCTTTTTCGAATAGAAGGATTATTAGAGATTCTTGAACGGAGATTTCCCGCAAGAGTTTCTAACTTTTTAGAAAAGGATAGAAAACTGAGGCAAGCTGGTGAAAAGCTCGCTCGATACAAAAGCTCGTTCTTGAAGAAAACGGGAAAAGGCGTTGATGGTTTCCTCGAGATTTTCCAATAAGCATCAACTTCCTTCCTACTCTCTCTTTTTCTCTCTCTGTCGCTCCTTCTTTCTTACTCACAGTAACATTTATTTATTTTTATCGTGCCACCGTA